AATGGGTATTGATTCGATGCAGCTCGTCACGGGGAGTCTAATGGTGGTCTTTGTTTTGCGCTACGGGGTCTAGAATTGCTAACAATTGAGTTTGAAAATTTGACGTCATCAATTTTGAAAAGTTTTTTCGCTATAACTTTGCCAAAAAAAGAGATATCAATCTCAAATTTGGTATGTGGATGGAAGGTGGTAAAAACTATCACATATATTCCGGTTTTTGCGAAATTAAAAAAAAACTTTTTGGATTTTTCGATTATTATATCAAAACAAATTATTTTTGAAGTTTGGGGGTCAAAATCCAAAAATTTCAAAAATCTGAGATAGCTGTTTGGTAGGCCTGTTCATTCTACAGTTTTTATGTCTTTATCATTTTTTCTGTATTTGCAAAGCTATAGGCCTGACAGCTCTTCCCGCGAAACCCTTTTTTGGATCGAAAACGGCAGAACATGACGTCACTCTGACGTCATTTCTTGCCAACCTATCATAGCCTTTGGAAAATTTTGGTCACAATGTGTAAAATTGATGTACGGGAGGGTACTGAAAGTTTGGTGACGATCGGCACAGCGGTTCTGGAGATATATCGAAAAGTCTGGAGGGGGGGTGGGTAAAAAATAGCCCACCCCCATCAGGTCGCGGGTTAAGCTCTAGCGTCATTATGTGCCAAGTTTTTGGCAAAAACGTCATTTGACCTCAGTTGACCTCATTTGACCTGACCCATGGATAAGTACACCAAACAAAGAAGCACCAAGTGACTGCCCCCCCCCCCCCCCCCCAGCAGGGCTCGTATGGCTGAATAGCCCAGCGGGGCGCGGGTTAAGGGATAAGGGATATCGTTCGTCCCTTAGAGGACGGGGCGCACATCGACGAATATAGCTAGGATCATTTTTGGCGATCAGACGAACTTTTGAGGCACTTTTGACGCGCCCGTGCCCTGCCCCTGTCCTTTAAGGGACGATTAAGGGATAAGTGATACCTTGCAGACGTCTGGAACCAAGACCGCGGCTAGATATTGACTCGGGGAATCGATTGCGACCATTACGACCCCAAGGCAAGGTCAACTTGCGACACTGACACTACTTACGACTGCTATTTCAATTTTGTAAGTTGTGTCGCAAACGTTGAGGCGCTTTTGACGCGCCCTGTCCTTTAACCCGCAGCCCCACTGGGGTCTGCATATAACGCACCCTACTGGGGGGGGAGGGGGCTATTCACAGCCCCCTCCTAACTCCGAAAGTACTGGGCCGATCGTCAAAATTCAAACGGCATCTGATAGCCCCGGAAAAAAACTGTTGAGTGAAAGCTAACTTCATTGAACTCGAGGTCACCGATGACGTCAGAGGTCAGGTCAAATTAAAAATTATCGATAATTGGCTTGCTCACATTTTGGGCTCTGGCCGCCGTCTTACTAGTCAGATCGGGCTCATTTTTGGTTTACACACTCGTGAACAGATGCTTCAGATACCCTGAGGGTATTAAACTTGAACTTTGATTTTCAGGTCAGGGTCAGGTCATCACAGGTCACGGAAATCTTATGTCATGCATCGGTCACGTGACAAATATTTTATGGTCCATTTAGGCCATAGATTTCGAATTCGATGTCGTTTAAGGGACGAGGTCATTCGAGGTCATTTTGAGTTGAATTTAGCTCAGGTCAGGCCAATTTCAGGTAAAAAAGGTCAACTTTAAAATCTGAAATTTTTCAACAAAAAAAGTGTCGATCGGATGCAATTTGAGCTCAGGAACACGATGGTGCTATTTTTATTGGTGTACGATGTCACATACGTATTGAAAAATTGATTTGAAAAATGATAATAGTGAAATTTTTGCTATAATGCGTATAACTTGGCCATTTTTTAAGATATCTGGCTAAAACTTGTTCGTGTAAGTCATAAGCATGTGTTCTGTCACATATATTCCGGTTTTTCGAAAAGTCAAAAACTTTTTGAAAAAAAGATGAGAATATAAATTTTAATTTTTTTATATGTATACTCACTTAAAAAAAAAAATTGAAAATTTGAGAATCCGAGAAAGCTGTTTGATAGCATTATTTCCGGCTGACCTATGGTAGCTACAAAGTTCAAATTTTGACACAAGGTGTCAAATTAATCTGACCGAAGGTACTGAAAGTTTGGCGTCGATAGTCAAGCGTTTTAGAAGTTATTGGAGAAAAACGGGAAGGGGCTATGAATAGCCCCCCCCCCAAGTGGGGCGCGGGTTAATGGACGATTTAGGGATGAAGGGAAAGAGCTAGGGCAAAATAAGTGTCAGATTCGTGATCCCCGTCTCCTAAATGCCCCAGAGAGGCTTTACAAGCAAATATGAATCCGACGCTATATATTCACAGAGGAGAGGTCAGTTAAAGCGCCGCCGTTTTTAGATAACCGCTAACAACGTCAGGGGGATGTTCAAACACCCTCCCCATGCAGTGTGCGGGTTAAAATCGGGTACCAATCGCGGCGTCTCGTAACGGCGCACACGCTCTTTTTTTGTGCGAGGCCCTGGCGAGCCAGTTAGGGGTGAAACGGCGAAAGGGGTCGTAACAACTCCCCAATCCCCTCGGCCGGGATGTCCATGAAGTAAGCGTCAGCACAAATCAAACGTCGGATTCAGAATCACGTAAAAAGCTTCTTAACCCGCGCACCGACGACGGGGGTCTGCGCCAACTTACAACCAACGGGAGGGCGGATGACCGCCCCCCTGAGATCTCGAGAACAAAGCAAGATAGCGACAAGCGGTAAACGGCATGGGGTACGCACGGACAAGGTCTACAATTTTTACAGAGATCATATTCAGGTCAGGTCAAAGATGACGTCACAGCCCACAGGGGTAAAAAAGTCAAAATGGCGTCGCGGTTGATTCATAGCCGTGTGACCGAAAATAAATGAAAACTACAGGAAATCCTTTCGTGTTACATGTGATTGCCTGGTACCATATGAAACCGCCAAATCTGATGTTTTGTTCCATGAACTGCATCAGTCACATACACTTTTCCTTTGACGCTCACACTCCTTTTAGACAAGATGTTCAAAATGGCCACCTCGGCGACAAATGCACCCCAGCACCAGCAGGCGCGGATCCAGCGTGGGGCGGCGAGGGCGGCCGCCCGCGCTATCCAAAAAGGCGCCCATAGCCCGCGGCAGAGAGGGCGCCCCAAGCAGAAGAGCGACGACACAGCAAAGGTTGAGGAGAAAAAGGGCGCCTCCAGCAGAAGTTGGGCTCACCAAGCAAGAGAGCGACGCCCAATTGCCCATTCCCAGCAGATGAGAGTCGCCCCAGCAGAAGAGCGGCGTCTTATTACAAGAATAAAAAGATACCTTCTGTTCAAGAGAGGCGCCCCTGGCAGCGGAAGGGCACCCCCAGCAGGAGAAAGCACCCCTGAAGAGGAGCGACGCCCCAACAAATGGAGAGAGGCGTCCCCCCCCCATTCCGAGAAGAAGAAGGGCGCCCTGACAGCAGATGGGCGATATCAATGACATCATATCAACTCAGATGACAGCATATCAACTCACCCCCTGGGGATGGTGAGTTGATATGGTTTTGGATTTATTAAAATTTCTCGGCTAAAGAAGCTCAGAGGTGAGTTGATAAAATGCCAGTGTTTAAAAAAAAGATGAGAGAACACATCCTGAAAGAAACCATCAGAAAAAAATTGCAGTAGTTTGGCAGCAGACCTCACATTCATGAAAACGCAATCATGTCCAACACAGCACTATCAAAATGGCTTGATTTTAGCAGCAGCATTTTTTTATGATACTTACTTTTACTTAGAACATTCTGAACTTGGCTAGTCACGTGTCCTCAAGCCAACAGTATCAAAACTGGCAATATATTTTGGAATTACAAGTGTATTTTCTTGTAATTAAAACACATTGTCAGTTGCGGGTCAAGGTTGATATGCCTCTGACATAGATAATGGGTTGAAATGAAAGAATACATATACTTCTGAGCTTTTGTTGACTGGTAGTCAACAAAATATTAATGAAGTGAAGTGAAGCGAATCTAATTCGGTCTGTTTTCTATTAGGTGAAATAAGCGACATAAAACAAAATTCGGCATCAAAAGCCAAAATTAACCCTCGCACATATAGGCGGTCGAAAGGACCACCTCGGCTTTTCGCACATAACTCGCGCAAAAAGCGGCCGATCGCGACGAAACTTTCATTACCTCCCGATTTTATCAATTTTACACATGCTCTAAGAATTTCATGACCCTGACCCAAATGGCTTTTGACTTGTGACCTGATTTTCGAGACCATGCTTGGCCGGAATCGCGATTTGGCGTATGTCGGCTCACATTATCCGCGCATTTCCAGTATTTTTGTGATTGTAACGTCCAAACATGTGAAATGATGTTGGTCCCATGCAGCATTGTGGGTGTCAACTGTCAAGGCCACCTGAAGGTCAGGTCAGGTCATTGACCTTTGGTGACCTCGGTTCACTTTTTGGAGTTGTACATGTTTCCAGGGTAGTTTTTCGGGCGAATTTCGAATTTAGCATGCATTTGATCATTTAGTTTTAGTGCCTTCGTAACATGTTACGAAGGCACTACATCAGTGGTAGTTGACAGTGGACACCCCCTCACGGTTCGTCGGAAGGTCATCTAAGGCTCAAAAGAAACGGTATATACCATTCGAAAGCTGAAGGTGAGCTGAATCCAAAAATGTATTTTCTATCAAAATCGATCGATGGCCTTTTTTGAAAATTGCGTTTTTGTAAAAACTTAATAATTTTTTAATCAGCGGGCTGTCCCGGGCTTTCTTGAGAAAATAAACATGTTTTTTCGAGTTCCAGTGAAAGCTGAACGCCAAAAGAATAATATTTAGCGAAGCAATATTTCCTAACATTAATATGCGTCCCCCACAGCCGACAATAAGGCGCAATCACACTGCTCAGTGTCACGATGGACCAAAATCAGCCACACAGAAGCGTGAAATGACCCTTATCGACTTGCAGACCCGGCGCTCTCGGCCCGCCTGATCGGCCACGGAAAGAACTGTGGAAAACTGGAGATACCGGCCAGCCCTCAGATCGCCACTCCGAGCCGCGGGGCCGCCAGCACCCGGAACGAGCGGCCAAGGCTGGGTCGGCCTGACGGCGACGCCGGAAGCGAAGACGCAGCTCGCCGGAGCCGGCCCGGGACCAGTCGACCCTGGCATGTAGACCAAGGGCACGGCTGCCCGGCGACGGCGCCCGAGGCAGGAGGCGACCCTGCCCGAGCGGTGGGGCGCGTGACGTAGCGAGGCGCGCCCGGGGTGGAGACCGCGGCGGGGCTGGGTGCCGAGGGCCTGAGGCGACCCCGCCCTGGACCAGCTCAGCTCGACGGTGGTGTCACGTGGGCCTCCTCCCGACGGCGAACTGGGGAGGGCGCGAGGCTGGCCGTGGCGCCGCCGTATATAAAGCGTGTGCTCGGCGGTTCAAGTCAGTTCAGTTCGAGTTCCAGTCTCCAGTCTGCTCCAGCCTGCCTTCAAGACCGCAGTCGACCGGTCGGCCGAGACCCCGTCGGCCGCTGGGCGCTCGCAGTGATTGGGTGTGGCGTGCACAGTGTCAGTGATAGTGCTTGAGATGTAAGTACACGGGCTCAACCAGCCGCGCTGGCTATGGCGCGCTGGTTGGGATTAGAGGAGAGTAGTGGAGAGGAGAGTATGAGATCAGTAGTGAGTGTGGATCTTTGTTTTCCCTATCCTCAATAATAACACCTCTATGTGTAAACGCTGTCTCTGGGGCTGTGGTGAGCGGAGTCTGAGGCGATGGAGAGTCGGACTGGTGCTGAGAGAGTAATCGGATTCAGAGCCACACATCCAAACAAGTAGGTAGGATAAAACATATTTTCACACTGGTGTCAGAAGTGGGATAGAGTTATTGAATTGACTTTGTCATTTAATGGCTTCCGTTTTTAACCGAACGGCGAACCTTCTAAATTTTAGGGATGCTGTGGCTAATTTTAATAGAAATTAAAGAATTGGTGTTCTGTTACTGTCTCCCTTCAAAATTAATTGAGCTGATTGTTTAATTTCAAATTTAAAGCACCTTTTTCTTCTGTTGTCCGACAAAGGTCTCCATCGGCCGCTCGCACACCGCCCCAGCTGAGGTGTTCCTTTCCCTTTCACGGGTCCCGACGTTGTGTAGACTGGGCGGCCGACTGACCCAGTGACGGTAACCTTGGGACGCCTCATAACGGCTTTGTGATTGGTGGGAGTGTTTTCTCCTGGATTCCTGATTGGCGGTGAGGTTTGTGCTTACAGTGGCTAGCCGGTCCTGTATCAGAAACATCGTAAACTGTGCCGGTGTTGTCTTGTCTCAAAGAGGAGTGTCGGCTTGTGTGGCTCTGGCAGTCATTCATCCGACTGTGGTGTCTGATCAGTCGTGGAAGCGTGGTGCTGTGAAATTCGAGTCCAAACTGGTGGTCGGGAGCAGTACAGTGTTGGTGGTCCAGGAGCTTCTACAGGAAACCAGGTGTTCTTGTAGCCCTGTCGGCAACAGCAGGATGCTGTTTGCGGGTGTGACATTGCAGGATGTGATGGGCTGGTGGGTTGCCGTCCAGATTTAGTGGTGTCTAAGTGAGTCATTATCTGCAGGTGCAGTTAGTTAGAATGTTAGAGCCGATCGGGACTAGTGTGTCGTTGGGAAATATGTGTCATTAGGACTATATTTCGCCGGAGGCTTCCTCCGTGACCGGGACGTTTGATTTAGGAGCTAAGCAGGACTCGGTGAAGTCGTATATACGCCGAAAGGAGCCCAGTGGAGTCCGTGCAATAGCGCCTTACCTTCTGCCGGGGAAGGTTAAACTAGGGGGTCGTGCGCTCTCCTCTTGTAACTTGAAAGCTGCAGCTCAAGTTCAAGGAATTGCCTATAATCAAACGTCACCGAGTGTCTTCCCGTCTTACTACTGGGTCAGATCGGGCGAGGTGAAGCGGACACATCCGATAGTACCCGATGGCATTCGTGCCTGTGGATAGTGACTGCACATTGACGACCGGAGGGAGCCCTGAAGTCCTCAAGGGACTATCCAGTATCCATGCAACGTTAACACTGGAGGACCGACAGCTTATAAGCCCATGCTGACAGCTGACAGGAGAACTGAACTGACCATGATACCACCCGACAACGACACAGTGGGAACGGCTCCCAGTCGGATGGCGCGCCTTACACCTCTTTACAGGAACAGCAGTGCTAGCCCAACCCTGGAGAGTGGAGACTGCCCGCACTGAGCTTTGCCCAGTCGCAGCGCCGCTCCAGAGGACTCGGCAGACACCGATAATAAGCCTCTGTGCGAGGCTGTGGACGAGCCGGTCCTGACAATCGGACCGAGGAGGTCCACTCGGGTCCGGAGACCGCCTTACCGGTTCCGGGATCTCTAGTCTTAAAGCTATTCAGACATAGACTGAATACTGGTTTCAATGTCAGGAGCTGCCTGAGAAATAAGAGTAGAAATGGCGTTTAAGACATGCAAAAGTAGAGTCATGACTTCCTATAGTGACCGAGAAAATAAGCTCAGAGCAGATCAACTATACATTCCAGTAGATTAATCAGTCACTGATGTGAAGTCACTTGATTAGCAATCTGCTCAGAAAGAATCTTCCGACTGTCATCTCTGCACTAGTGATTGCCCTGATTGAAACATATCCTTTTATGTAAAATTGTATTTAAATGGCAATTGACATTACGTTTTACTGAGCAACACGGCTAGTTTGACGCCGTCATTGTTTATTCATAGCTGTAACGGTAAATGAGTGAGATGAGTCGCCCATCATGAAAAAAAACTATATCTGCAACTGGTTCTACTGCATAATGATCAGAGCCTTCTGAGTTCTGCGCATCCATTAGCGATTCAAGAATTGCCCTATTAGCATGTCCTGCATCCTACCACTCTGTCGACATGCCCGTCGCCAACCGCCACGTGAATCTTATGCCAATTTTATCGTAATTGAGTAGAGCCCGAAGAGATTAAATGGGCTAGTTGTGAAATGTCTGTGATGTACGCTAATGCTTGACGTTGAGGGTTGACAAAGCCTGTCTCTCCCAATTTCACTCTCAGTAAAAGGCAAGTTGGCCGTTTGTCCTCATATCCTTACCTAGTTCATCACGATTGAAACCCCTGAGTCATGCTGAGCATTGTTCCGCGTAGTCGTAAAAAGGACCAAAGAGGGCATACAAAGTGGATTGACCGCGGTGTGGTACACCTCTGACTAGACCCAGGCACTTGAGGTTGCACGGACAGTGTGGGCCAACCTGACCTACGACATCTGTCACTCGGCTTTCTGCTAACCTGACAGGCCACGCCTGCAGACAGCGAACGAGGCCTCCTCACGACGTAATCGGGTTATGCGGATATCCTGAACCGGTGAGGCCTACCGGCTATCCCGAGCGGAGACCCGTCATCCACGTAGGCTGCCTGATTGCATACCAGTGGTTCGTGTCACGTGCGAAACCGTCACCGCTGTTCTTGGGTATCAACATACTCAGATCGTCACCACGGAGTGCCGGCCACCAAAGCAGCTCAACCCTGGTCTGGCTCTGCGTATTATCGCAGCATGAATCGTTCCGCTCACGGCAACTCCACTACGCAGCCCTATCAAGGTCCGAGGCACGGCGCGGCAGGACCTGCTCTTAGCATGACAACCTAGACATCCTCCTCCCACTTGAGTTCCTTCCCCGTTCATCCTGGCTGTCTAACTGACGGCGGCAAGCTACTGGCGCACACAGAAAATGCTCACAGCTAGCCTATAGCCTAGTGTAAACACTCGTGTAAGCAACAGGCCCAGGTCAAATGGCTATAGCCTTCACAATCTAGCGGCTCCTTTTCTTAACACGGTCATGTTTTATCCGGGTCGTGATGTGCAATAACTGGCTCTGATAAGTCAACATAAATCATGCATCATTTGAAAAACTCGGGCTATGCAGTACCAGATGACAGTCAGGGTGCAGTAATAATAAGCGGGGTATTTTTCTTGGCCAAATGTCTCTGCCCGACTGTGTGTTGATCGTTGCTGACTGTATCTCGTATGCCGGCAGAACGCAGATCTACCTCATTCCCTCCCCCTATGGCGACAATCATTTGTTCTTCATATTGGTGGAAGGGATGTGGAAAACTGGAGATACCGGCCAGCCCTCAGATCGCCACTCCGAGCCGCGGGGCCGCCAGCACCCGGAACGAGCGGCCAAGGCTGGGTCGGCCTGACGGCGACGCCGGAAGCGAAGACGCAGCTCGCCGGAGCCGGCCCGGGACCAGTCGACCCTGGCATGTAGACCAAGGGCACGGCTGCCCGGCGACGGCGCCCGAGGCAGGAGGCGACCCTGCCCGAGCGGTGGGGCGCGTGACGTAGCGAGGCGCGCCCGGGGTGGAGACCGCGGCGGGGCTGGGTGCCGAGGGCCTGAGGCGACCCCGCCCTGGACCAGCTCAGCTCGACGGTGGTGTCACGTGGGCCTCCTCCCGACGGCGAACTGGGGAGGGCGCGAGGCTGGCCGTGGCGCCGCCGTATATAAAGCGTGTGCTCGGCGGTTCAAGTCAGTTCAGTTCGAGTTCCAGTCTCCAGTCTGCTCCAGCCTGCCTTCAAGACCGCAGTCGACCGGTCGGCCGAGACCCCGTCGGCCGCTGGGCGCTCGCAGTGATTGGGTGTGGCGTGCACAGTGTCAGTGATAGTGCTTGAGATGTAAGTACACGGGCTCAACCAGCCGCGCTGGCTATGGCGCGCTGGTTGGGATTAGAGGAGAGTAGTGGAGAGGAGAGTATGAGATCAGTAGTGAGTGTGGATCTTTGTTTTCCCTATCCTCAATAATAACACCTCTATGTGTAAACGCTGTCTCTGGGGCTGTGGTGAGCGGAGTCTGAGGCGATGGAGAGTCGGACTGGTGCTGAGAGAGTAATCGGATTCAGAGCCACACATCCAAACAAGTAGGTAGGATAAAACATATTTTCACAGAACGTTTGGCTCTCGTCCTATTAAACAAATGTCATATTTGTCAGTTTAACTGTCCACATCGCTATCAAAGTTATTCAGGATACCTGTGAAGAAAATTCATTGTTCTGTTTGATTTACAACATGCTGTAATTTACATTTTTCTTATACATGTTTTGTTCCATCCAGCTGCGCTCAGTGCCCGCGCAGGGGAAGTGAGCGGGGTTTCACTGTCAGAGGCTGTACTGGTGACAGCTGCTCGGCCGTGCGACCGGTCAAAGGTTACCCTGCCCCACCGGGCGCTACCCCCACTCCACCCGAGGCGAGGTTGGTGCAACCTCTGACATTTCAGCGCGGCCAATTTTCCTTATATGGGCATGATACCAAGCTCAGTTGAGCAAAGTAGACATGAACAAATGCAAATTAATGCATGATCTGAAGATAACAGAACAATGAATTTTCTTCACAGGTATCCTGAATGACCTTATTTTCAGGTCATGTCATGACCCAAATGACCAATTCTCAACATCTTGCGTTGGCTTTGGGCCTTGTGAGCTTTTGACACCTTGATTTCGGCCTTTTTTGCCATTCTTACCTCTCACCTATCATGGAACATGTTGTTCGACGATATACAGATGTCAAAGACAGGGTCAAGGTCAACCTAGGTCATCTAAAATAATTGCGTTTTAGGCAAGCTGAATGTACTTTTCGTGAAGTTTTTTGACTGCATTTTTGGTAAAAGCTTCTCAGATCATGATTTCATGTAATATGGACACATTAACAACCGGTGCACACATCAGTATACACACAGACACACACACAGACATACAAACACATATCATTGACCTTGACCTAACTTGACCTGAAATGACCTCAGCAGCAAACACCTGGACGGGTAGTGTGACAAAGAGGTTCTAGCTGGCTTGGCACCAGAAAACGGCATCGTTTTCGGTATATGATAAGCAGCGCACTTGATATCCAGCGGTAACCCAAAACAGCAACTTTTTTAGTTTGACCTGACCTGGAAGTTTAATGACTGACCTGAGAAGGTAAAACTGGGTATCATTGGAATTGTCTCTTCCCAAAGAACTTTTTGTCCTTACCGCGAAGCTCTATCTCCAACAGGAACGAAATGGCGCAGGGGGGGGGTGGCAACCCCCCCCCCATGTGCGTTCTAGGATGGGAAAATGGCATGTGCGGGCGAGGGCTAATGGCCGTTTTAATGACGGGACTTTCGCGGTGGAACCTATTTGATACGTGGAAAGTAGGGTAGCCTGGGGCAAGACGCCCCAGATAATTTATTTTGCTACATAAATTTTGTCCCACATCACCTGGAAGGCCAAATTTGTGCTCAATGCGTTCTTTGGACATTTTACTTTAAATTGCACCCCTCAAATTCATTCACATATGATCGGACTCCAAGCTGAGTGATTTGTGAAGCAACTGAAAATGGGGCATTTTTCCCCAACCCCAGGCCAAAACGCCCCACGGCCTGGGGCAAGTAGCCCCATACTTAAGATTACAGATTTAATATGATAGTTGGCTTAATCTTATGTGAGAGGTCCGTTAGACCTCTGGAGGCACGGCTCTGAAGTTAGCACATTCCATCCTTTCAGGTGTTCAGCTATGACACTATTGTATGAGCAGGTTTTTCACCTGCCTCATAAGACCAAATAATAAATTATTGCAATGCAAATGTTTACAGAATACTTCCTTTGCCATCCAGTTGCTGAGAAAAATACACATAAAGGCATAGAAACTTACTGTTCGCCAGCTACCGAACATTATAAAGTGGGTAGCCCGAACAACACATGAGGTAAAACGCCTCATGGGGCTTTTTGCCCCGCGACCTACTGGGGCGTTTTACCCCATCACGTAATTCGGTCATATAACAACGCTTTGCACTCCAGCAAGACATAATTTAACACGAACCAACCCGGCATGATAAGCGTTAGACAATAGTTGTTCAAAATACATAAAAGTCGTTAACCTGATGTGGACGATAAAAGAACGCCATGATGCATAAGCTGACAACAAAACATAAAAATCACTCCAAAAACACATTTTTGGCTATATCTCCCTAAAGAGTCATCACAATTTCTTTCCAGTCTCTTCATATAATGTTCATATAGTGCACGTTTTATAGAAGAGAGGATGTTTCCCCAGAACTCTGCCACTTCCGAGAAACATCGGTGAGGCGTTTTACCTCGGCGGGGCGACTTGCCCCGGTCTACCCTACCAACCTTTTGATGCCTTATAATCCTTACAACTGAAGTCTTTTACTTTCAAAATATTTTTAAAAGTTGTAATCCAGGCAGTTTTTGCCATCAAATTGCTTATTTCTTTACAAACAAAGCAATTTTAGGTTCTAGTAGCCCACCTTTTGACTATGAGGGAGCAAATCAGCCTGGCAACTAGATACCCGGCTCCTGTTTCACCAGCCCGACACTGCGCGCGCCCTGGTGGCGCCTGGGCGCAACAAATCCGCCGCCGCCTTAGCAATGACCTAGACCTCCGCCGTCTGCTGCGGCTCCAAAGCCAAGCCAGCGTGGATTTGGGAGAGCTCGGTCAGCCGTAGTGGTGCCCGGGCGTATCAAATCCGCCGCCGCCTTAGCAATGATATTGACTTCCACCGTCTGCTGTGGCTCCAGAGCCAAACCGGCGTGGAATTGGGAGAGCTCGGTCACCCGCAGCTGCCAGCTCAGTATGTTTTCTTATCATTGTACTAGCATTAAATAGATTTGAAAATGTCACAAATGTGCTTACGCCTCAAGTCTACGTGAGTGGTAAACCCTTGGATTAAATAAATTAATGTAATGTTTAACCCTCGCCCTGGCAGGGCATTTTTCATAACACGACCTGGCAGGGGGGTCGATGCGACCCCCCCCTCGCGATTGGCTCCTATGGCACCTAGAAACACCAAATTTAGTAGGTAGGTGGGCCCCCTAGAGTTCTCGCCCCTGTACAAATTTGGTTGCCCTTGGTCAATATCTAAGGGGGTTTTGGGGGGGTCGAAAGGCTTTATAACAAGTATATTCGCGGCCATTGGGGCGACGTAAGAAAAGATGAAAACAACTGGGCCCAAGAACTTTGAATTATCAGTTAGCATGCACCTTTGCCTTGCTGGGTAGAGAATTTACAATTAATTGTTAGAGGAAATTGCATTTAAAAAAGTGAATTTATGCTTTTCCCATCGTTAGCACATTATAATCTTTTACTAAGGTAGAAACACTAATAAGAAATAGTTCCCGCAGCATCGTCAAGAACAATAGCGAAGGCTTGAAGTGAATTCAATAAGCTAAGCTGGTTTGTAAGATGTGAAGACACTTGTAAAATTGTTTGTAGAAATATTGAAAGCAACAGTTCAACTTTTTCACAAGACGGATGTCTATAAACCTATTCAACGTGTGTCAACTCAGCCGGTATTTCGTCGCCTACAGCTCAGCTTTCCCTAGTGACCGCTACGTTAGGCGGCACGGGCGGACATCGATAGCAGCGCCTCTATCGGTCACTAGGGAAAGCTGGGCTGTAGGCGACGAAATACCGGCCGAGTTGTCACACGTTGAATAGGTTTATAGACATCAGTCTTGTGAAAAAGTTGAACTTTTGCCTTCAATATTTCTACAGGCAATTTTAGAAGTATCCTCACATTGATTAAAAAACCGTTTAGATTATTGTATTAGCTTCAAGCCTTCCCTATTGTTCTTGATGATGCGGGAACTATTTCTAATTAGTGTTTCTAGCTTAGTAAAAGAACATATTGTGCAAACGATGATAAAAGCATAAATCGAAGAATTTAAACGCAATTTTTACTAACAATTAATGGTAAATTCTATACACATCAAGGAAAAGGTGCATGCTAACTGATAATTTAAAGTTCTTGGGGCCAGTTGTTTTCTTCTTTTCTTACGTCGCCCCAATTGCCGCGGATACACTTATGATAACACCTATCGAGAGGCGCTGCTATATCGATGTCCGCCCGTGCCGCCTAACGTAATAAATACAACCAGTAAAACGCCTTTTGGGCGAAGAACGAGCGAGCGAGATAGTGAGCCCTGCACGTGCGGAAGGGCGAGAGGGTGCTTCCAACGGGCTTGCGCAAAGCACCCTTCTAACTGGTCGCTAGCGGTGTGCCAAATTTGAACGCAATCGGCCCAGCCGTTCCTGAGATCTGGAAGCGGCATTCTGCACGTGCGCACGTGCAAACGGGGTCCAAAATGACTTTTGCACGGCACCCTACTAACTGGTCCCCAACCGTGTACCAAATTTGAGCGCAATCGGCCCAGCCGTTCTCGAGATCTGGAAACGCCCGCTGCACGTGCGCACGTGCAGTAGCACCCTAACCGCAACACATGGGAATGCATTGCCTGGTGGGTGCCTACCTGTATGCCAAGTTTCAGCGAAATCGCCCCAGTAATGACCAAGTTACTGAAATGGGAACAAATTTGGCACCTCTTTATTGTTGTATTTTGCACGTGCACTGGGGGTGACCCACATGCATCGAGAGTATCCTATTTTGGGTAGAAGGGATGCTGCTACCCTATAAAAATTACCGCAAGTCAATCGCCCAAGCGGCTGCTGAGATATGAGCCTCTCAAAATCACTACTTTTGCAAAACAGCTTGAACACCCTTGACTTTTCACGTGGCACGTGCCACGACGGTCACTGAGATGTATCAAAAGTAGTCAATTACGGGGTAGAAGGGATGGGGCTACCCAACAAAAAAGACCGCAGGCCAATCGGTCCAGCGGTTGCTGAGATATAAGCCTCTCAAAAGCGTTACAGGCCGGGCCGGGCCGGGCCGGGCCGGGCCGCTCATACTGAGATTTTTCCGTTATATTGAAAAGACTCACTTCGCTTGCTAGCGCTCGCTCGCTCGTAAAAATTTCGCTAAAAACAGGTCAAAAGTTTTTCGCTCATAACTTTTGATCTAATTAAGCTAGAGCAAAAAGAAAAGCACCAATGAACTCAGCACGTCAAGGCGCGACGAATGGTATACTTTGTAGCGTGATTAAGTGTACCTTAAGTTTTTCTTAAATTTTAAATAAACTTTAATTAATTGATTAAGTTTAAGTTAACCAAATTGCATCATATCGCATATCATTCGATTTGGCTGATCACAAGGAACCCAATGACATCATTTTTAAGCTCTAGCGTCATTACGTGTCAAGTTATTGGCGAAAACGTCATTTGACCTCAGTTGACCTCATTTGACCTGACCCATGGATAAGTACCTACACCAAACAAAGAAGCACCAAGTGACCTGCTATTAAGTACTGTGGTTTCAAAGAAGTGATAGAACGAAGCGGATATCTCCAGTATTTTCCGAATTTAGTATTTTCCCATAGGCTTAACATTAAAGGGACAGTATCACCATTTTGATGAAATTTGACATTGCATAGGCCCCACCTTTCTGGTCCGGGAACTGAAGACCGATCCTCGAAGCTCCACACCGTTATCCCGCTATCGCCGCTCAAAGTACGAAAGGTGTACTACACTTTGAATCGTGCTTCACTATCTTCACTGTTAAAATGTTTGCGCCGTTTTGAATTGACCGCCAGTAATAAAACTTTTACCCTGGTCATTTCGTCAAATTTTATAAAGCCAAAACGTTTTTCGCACTTATTCATCACCGTTAAATTCATTAAATAGTCGTAGGCAATTTCCGCTGTTTCCTTCGGATTCTAGCGGCTCAACAAAGGAATTCCTCCAGCTTGAATCACAATCTCCCTCCAATGTATGACGTTTATCACGTGATTGTCACGTGATATTTTCTCCCATTGTCAATTGTCACGTCCAATTGTCACTCCCTCCAATTGTCACGTGATATTTTTATAGGCAATACCTAAGGCTACCTCTCCCTAAGGACAACTCAATCAGAAGAACGACCGCGTAAGCGTAGCGTCAATAATGTATTATCTGCGCCAGTTCTGTAGTAATTTTGCATGCTTCCAAACTGGCGGCCATGCTTGTATAGTTAGTGGTGGTGCGCTCATGAAAATGAATCATGAAAATGAAATGTGGTTGCAATATTTTTCACCGAGTTCGGTCCTCAAACTATGTTTTTCTGGTTCAGAAAAATATGAAATGCTTGCAAAAAAAAATCAGCTTCATACATTAATTTTTTTCGATGATATTGTCCCTTTAAGACGTAATGACCTCTAACCGACCTCAGGTCAGTGACATCAAAAAACCCGAACTACATATTATACAACTCGGTGAACTTAGCACACCCTGAAAGTTTGAAGGAAATCAGTCCAAAAATGTGAGGTGGACAGGTGCAAAAAAAATGACCATGACCTTGTACCGGTTTTTCGGACCTGGTGACCTGAATCAAGGTCACTTGGACCTGACATTTTCAGGTCATATGTAAAATGGTTGCCCCATAGGCTGTGCCAAATTTTGCGGCGCTGCCGTGTTTACGCTATCTTCGAAAACCTTAGGGGGGGTCGCATCGACCCCCCCCCTTCCAGGGCGAGGGTTAATAGAATAACAGCAAAGTAACTGATCACTCATTCGAAAGCTGGAAAACCTACTATAAAGAACTACTAAAATTCCTGCGGAACCAAAGGACCAAACAGGTATCAAATAGATGCCAGCTATTACGTCGTGAAAACGGCCAATATGGTTCAACTCGCAATCAACCATGAAACATTTTGGCTATTTCGGATGCTCAATTTTTGAAAATTATGATCACGTGACCTCTTGACCTATTTTTCGAAGAGTGACTTTGATGTTTTCCCCGCTGAAAGTTGCAATTGTGTCTGATGACGATTAAAGCCTTAACAATTGTCATTCATATGCGATAATAAAAAAGTGGCTTTCGGCCTGCGTTGACCTCAAGTCAGGTCATTTTTATGACTGCCCATTATGACAGCGATATCTCGAGAACAAAGAAAGATAGCGTCAAGCGGTAAACGGCACAGTGTACACACAGATAGATAAGGTCCACAATTATTACTGAGGTCATTTTCAGGTCATGTCAAAGATGACGTCACAGGGGTAAAAAAGGTCAAAATAGAGGCACTATAGTCTTGCAAACCTAAGAAAGAACGGAGTTTAAATCACTTTGCACGTGTTTTGATCCAGAGGCGGATCCATCTCAGAGTTTTTTTTTGGGGGGGGGGCAAACCATAACAATTTATCGATTCTTTCCATGCCTCGTCCATAGGCGTTATGTTAAAATTATGCCGTTTGGGGGGGGGCAAATGCCCATTCTACCCCCTGGATCCGCCACTGTTTTGATCACTTGAAAAGTATGATTCGGATAAATTTATGTGAAAATATGATAAACCATGTGAAAAGTTGTGTCAGAAAATATGCTCTCACAATACAAATGCACATGCATCAACGGCCGCAGCGCTTTGACCCCCGCCGGACCTATTGGTTTTCTACATACACGCCGGCCGAGGGGGTGTGTCCGAATTAAACTCCCAAATTATCTTTCACTTCAGAAATTATCTATTCACTTCCAAAAATCAAATCAAAACATGTTTAACCCAAAATCCCTTCTTCTTGGCCTCTTTTTTCAGTTCCCCCAAGCCCGTGTTCGGAAAAATAATAGCTCGAGAGATAAGCACGAATAGTACCGGTCCGAGATACCTCTGATTTGATTTTCCTCTCAACAGCTTAAGAGCGTTTCAACCCTTGGCCACCACATACACATAATACAAAATTCTCCCCCGTCGTGGAGCTCAGCCCACCCTTCTTGGGTCATCTTCAAGTCAGTTACGCTTCTTTTGCTGCAGGATATTTTGTCGGTTTGGTTCAAACCTTTTCTACCGCCTTTCTAACGGGCTTCTCTGTCTCACAGCTTCCTTGGGAGTCTCTATCCCAGGTTCCTTTACTGACTCCGCGGCCCTGGACTGGCATGGACGGTGTATTAGTTTCTGCTGGCGCACTGTCAAGGGACGGAAAGTGTTGGGGGCCGGCTCCTTGGACGGTGTAGCTACCTGTTATTCCTGCTGCTCCTCTAAGACGATCTTGGGTACTACCTCCCCTGTCTCCTCCGCTTCAACCACAACCTGTTGCCATTTTGACTTTTCTGACCCCTGTGACGTAATCTTTGACCTGACCTGAAAATGACCTTCGTAAAAATTGTAGACCTTGTCCGTGCGTACCCTATGCCGTTTACCACTTGTCGCTATCTTGCTTCCTTCTCGAGATCTCAGGGGGGGGCGGTCATCCGCCCCCCGTCGGTTCTAAGTTGGCGCAGACTCCCGTCGGTGCGCGGGTTGATAGAAACCAATCACTATTTCTAGTAGCGATACATACGTTGGCTTGTTCGCGAGGTTCTAGCTCAATTAGGCGCAAAATAGCTGGGGAGGATGTCATATCCACCCCTCTTTCACCGTGCTCGCGAAGAATTCATGAACGCTCGCGAACTGTTCGCTGTTAATTTACCAAAATTAGGACGATGACGCCACTTGTTCGCGAACACAGTTGTTCGTGAACAGTTTGTTTACCTATGTTTGTTTATTTGGAAAATTAATCAAACACCAAACCCTAGTTTTTCCTGTTTGACTACCCACCCCGTTTCAGTCAGTGTGTGCTCACCGAAGCCCCGGAGTAGTTGCACGACACTCGCAATGCTGCAGCGCCGCAGCTGGGCAGCACGGTGCAGCAGCTGTTGTTGCACACCGTGAACGGCTGGCGGCCGAGCGCGGCGCCCAGCAGGGCAGCCGTCAGCACCCACAGTGGCACAGCGCTCGCCGCCGACCCCATGGCCGCAGAGCGCCGCCAGATGCCGTGCCCTGAAACGCCACTTCGGAGACGGCGGACCACCGGCAGAGGTCAACCATCCAGGTCACCGACACGCATCTTGAGCTCAGTGACACACGCGGATACTCAGTTTGACTACCAGCTAGGAGCGTCCCTGAGCACGACAGCCGCGGCCTATGGCGCACACCTGCCGTCCACCACTGGCTCGGTTGCTGTGCACCACCTTTGTCAACTCGACCGCAGGCGGCAATCTTATCGGCCGTTGGGTCTCAGCAATCAGTCGATCCGTATTAGAGATGTCAATCGGACGCCAACTTTTTGGTATACCGATACCAAACCGATACCAACTTGGTATTTGGTATTGCAATCCAAATGTTTCGGTATTTTGTCGGTACCTAAGACATAAAGACATAAATTTGCAGTACAACAAAGAGCCACTGGGGCCCATACTTGATTGCACATTTGCACAGTCTGTCAAAATTTCGTGCTACCTTTCCGCTTTTCTCCGTAACTATTGTGTGTGAAATTGGCACAAAACAGCGGCACATTGCAGGCATAAAGCATACACCACATTACACAACATTTCGCCGCTTAATCAATCATCATTTCGTCACAACATTTCCCTGCCCCCCCCCCCGGCATCTCCAAACAATTCGCTTGTAAGCTCAACGGAACAGCATCAAACACCCGCAACAACATTCTGCAGACATATTGCAACCTAATACCATGCATAATTTTTACGAGCGAGCGAGCGCAGCGAGCGAGCGAGTTCATACTGAATTAACCCGCGCCCTGGTGGGGTCTGTTTATAACGCGACCTGGTGGGGGGGGGGGGGCTATTTTTGCCCCCCCTCGTATCTACAAAACTACTGGACGGATCCGCAAAATTCAAACGATGTTCGAAAGGCCTGTCAAATTTGTCGAAGGAAACCAAATTTCATTGACCTCGGGGTCACCGATGACGTCACAGGTCAGGTCAAATATGAAATGTTTCACCGTTCACGGGTCTTCTAGGGAATGCGCTGTAACACCGAGGAAAGCGCATTTTGTCGAAAATCAGCGATAGGGCGTCAGTTGCCTAGTAGATATGTTGCTATTAGAGGTCAGTGACAATACCAGGTCAGGTCACAGGTCAGGTCACCAAGGGTCACAGGTCAGGTAACATAAGCCCAACTTTACTAAGGTTGTGTGATGCATGTTTTATGGCCAATTTTTCATTTCCAACTCAATGGTGTTGGTTATAAGACTATCAGGTACGGCTTAGTTCACTTTCTGGTGAAGTGCAGGTCAAGGTCAGGTCAAGGTCAGGCCAAAAAAGGTCAAATTTTAAAGTTAATAGTTTTGCATAACATGGGTATTGATTCGATGCCGCTCGTCACGGGGAGTCTAATGGTGGTCTTTGTTTTGCGCTACGGGGTCTAGAATTGCTAAAAATTGAGTTTGAACATTTGACGTTATCAATTTTGAACAGTTTTTTAGCTATACCATCGCCAAAAAAAAGAGGTATCAATCTCAAATTTCGTATGTGGATGGAAGGCGGTAAGGACTATCACATATATTCCGGGTTTGCGAAATTCAAAAATCGTTTTGGATTTTTCGATTATTATATCAAAAAAAAATATTTTTTTGATTTTTGGGGGTCAAAATCCAAAAATTTCAAAAATCCGAGATGCCAGTTTTGTAGCCCTGTTCATTCTACAGCTTTTATGTCTTTATCATTTTTCTGTATTTGCAAAGCTATAGGCCTGACAGCTCTTCTCGCGAAACCCTTTTTTGGGTCGAAAACGGCAGAACATGACGTCACTCTGACGTCATTTCCGGCCATCACCTATCATAGCTTTGGAAAAATTTTAGGTCACAATGTGTAAAATTGATGTCCGGGACGGTACTGAAAGTTTGGTGACGATCGGCGCAGCGGTTCTGGAGATATACCGAAAAGTCTGGAGGGTATTATATTAATTAATTTATATTTTTAATTGAATAGTATTATATTAATTCTATATTTGTTACTGTGTTGAAAAGAGGACACTCAAGTGTTTCCCTTCAAACATAGTCAATCTCAAACCAACTATGCATACAATAGCACATTTTTAAAAACAATGCATTCTTACAGTCCCACAAAGTATCGGTATGGAGTATGTACTAACTGCCCTTCAAAGGCCAAAGCTCTTGAGTCTTGGTCATATACCGGGGTTACATGAGCAAGTAAATGCGTATCAGGAACGGATTTTCCTATTCGCTCACCATTGTAGTCCGTTTGTAATGCGTATTAACTCTGCTCATGTAACCCCGAGCATAGAGTAATTTCATAATAAAAAGACATGAAATTCGATTCACTCCTGCACTTGTGATGTCCGAAACGGTCCCAAACAACGGGCGATGTCAAAGTTATGCAGCTCAGAGCGACGTAGAATTTCGTGAGATATCAAGAACATGAAAAATTACTTAGCTGTAAATTGCGTCGCTTTATGAAACAGAACTGCTGCATTTCCCTCCAAAATCAGCTGTTGGGCATACAAGTCGAGGTAGTAGAATTTTGGTCGCAAAATACACCCCCGTTTTCTTAATGAAACCGCTAGGGCATAAAATGTGTCAAAAACGGGTGGTAAATTGCGCCTCTTGTATTACACCCTTTAATGAAATCGGCCGCAGGTCGCAGGTTAAGGGAAAATCCTGAGTTGATTATTTAAAGTGACCCTTCCACCTTAAAAAAGTGAATGAATTGGCATTAAAGTGTAGTACCGTGAATCAGAAAGAGCGAAAATGAACAACTACCAAATTTCACCGAAAAATATTCACCCGTTTTTGAAATATAGGACTTTTATTTTATAACGCGCGGTCAATGGGCTTGATGACGTCATCAGAGTCGGTTAGTTACGGAGCGAGCGAAGCGAGCGGAGTCTCATACTGAATTAAGGGAAAATCCTGAGTATGAGCGGCCGGCCGGCCGGCCGGCCGGCCGTGGGGACGCTCTTCAAAAGCTAATATCTTAGGAACGGGACATCCGATTGACAAGCGGTCTTCTTTACTGAATGTCACTTGGACGTTAAAGTTCTGTGGTGTGATGGCCACCATGCATTCTTTCTAACCACCGCACGTGGCGCGTGGTAAAGTTGGACATGTTTTAAGAACCCCCAAAATTGCAACCTCAATAACGGCACAACGGTTGGGCCGATTGAATTGAAACTCGGTACACAGTTAGGTCTCCATCAGATAATTCATCTGCATGTGTTAAGGTTGGGGGTGCTACAGCACGTGCGCACGTGCAGGGGGCGCTCCCAGATCTCGAGAACGGCTGGGCCGATTGCGCTCAAATTTGGTACACGGTTGGGGACCAGTTAGTAGGGTGCCGTGCAAAAGTCAGTTTGGACCCCGCTTGCACGTGCGCACGTGCAGGGTGCCGCTTCCAGATCTCGAGAACGGCTGGGCCGACTGTGCCCAAATTTGGCACGTCGCTAGAGACCGGTTAGTAAGGCGCCGTGCACAAGTCAGTTGGAGGTAACCCCTCGCAATTTCGCTGGTGCAAGGCCCACCCTCTCGCTCGCTCCGTTAGTCGCCCCAAAAGGCGTTATACTGGTGTTAACCCTATTCCTGGCGGGCTCCGCCGGGACAAGAAACTGGCGGGGGGGGCCGATTCGGACCCCCCCCCCCTGAGATCTCGAGAACGAAGCAAGATAGCGACAAGCGGTAAACGGCATCGGATACGCACGGTCAAGATCTACAATTTTTACTAAGGTCATTTTCAGGGCAGGTCAAAGATGACGTCACAGGGGTCGAAAAAGTCAAAATGGCGGCGCTAGATATGGAGAGTTTTTCTCGAATAACTTTCGTATTAGTCAAGATAGGAACAAACTAAGGGCATCATCGTGATCCTCTCGTCAATCCGCATCGAATGATATATATGTTGACCTCGAAAGGTCAAGGTCAAAGGTTGACCTCAGGTCACGTGACCTCGAGGTCATCATGTATATCATTCGATGCGTCTTGACGAGCTGAACACAATGAGACCATCCACGCGTCTGTATCTTGTTCCTGTACGGAGTTATTGGCCAAAAACCTTTGGTGACCTTTGATGACGTCACATGACCTCACAGCTGCCCAACAGCAAAACAGACCTCAAGGTAGTGAAGGTTGATCGTATATGAAGTCATGTATGGTATATGGGGCCATTCCGACCCGTTTTAGTGGTAAAAACAGGGAGTTGATTTTTCCCCCATTGACTTATAATGGGGAGGTCGCGAAATTGACCTGACCTTAGGTCACCGATATCAAAATTCCGAGATATACAAATTGCACATACTGGTACCCTAACTAAACCCTGAAGAGAAGAAACTGATCGGTCAAAAACTCTAGCTCCGGCGTGATTGCAAACTTTTTTGAGGTAGGGTCACCAAACCGCCTCTGGTGACCTGACCTGAGGTCAGATCAACTCAAAATTTTCAGACATGTTGCGTAGAAGCGTTTTAGGAAAAGTCAGAAAATTTGAGCTTCCTAGCTCAACGCGTTTGGGAGAAATAACCAAAAAACCTCAGGGGGGGGGGCTCCTGAGGCCCCCCCCCCCGCCAGGAATAGGGTTAAGAGATAGGGACTAAGCTGGTCCCACCCTGCAAGTAAAGGGAACAAATTTCTTGAACACTTTAAAGCTGCGGGGGTTGCGACCAGGATAAATGGTGGTTTCTGAGCCTGGCCGCAAACTTGGCTATCTCAACTCAAAACTAATGTTAAGGTGGGAGGGTCCCTTTAAGGACATATTTGTGTTATGAGGTTATCGGTGGAGCCAAAAAGTAACTAAATGCACTTACTTTTATTGACGTTTCGGTTCCAAACAACCTTCGTCAGAATAGAATTACAAGTTAAAATATAAATATACGTCTCAAATGCACATATTTCAAACACACTGAGAACAGCAGAGATAAATTCAAACTGCGTCAACACTGGCTACGTTTAAAGTTTTCGTGGAACGTGACACTTATAGTTTTTATTCATCCTACTTGAAGTGCTATTTTTGCAGTATATTTTGATAGCGTGAAAAAACCAGCTCGTGTTTGTTGTCTCTTCAAGACGGATGAACGCTGCTTCAACCGCTCTTCTTAGTTGTCTGCAAGCGCATTCCCGCAAAACTGAAGCCCCATCCCACCTTGGTAAATGGTCAGACTCTTCCATGTGTAGAACCGTGGCGTTACTCAATCGATGGTCCCGTATATCTCTTTTGTGCGATAGGCGTTATCAC